AATATTTTAGGGGAAAAATAGTAAAAATGGCTAAAATTTAAGTACTAGGAGAGAATGAAAGGACACAGTGACTTGAAAAATGAATTTTTATAAATAGATTTGCCATGGGAATAAGGGTAATGAAAGCAGGGTTAAAAACTTGAAAAGAATTTGTCAAATGAAAGTTAAACACCAAAAGTATGCCATGGTTTAAAAAAAAGAAAAGAAAAGTAAGAATTGTTGCTTAGAAGCTTGCATGACCTGTGGCCCACTTTCAAGAACAGTAACATTCTACTGCAGTTTTTTGAACCAGGCACATATCTGTCCCATTGTATAATGTGAGGCTGTATAATCTTAGAGTTTTAAATTTTTCTAGGTCCATCTAATCAAACATAAGCAACTCTATTTTGCCAGTGTAAAAACATTATTAGCAGTATTACATGACTCAAATACACAAATAATACAGGTCTAAAATATTAGTCCAAAGAATTCTAACTATAGACTTTGCTGTCATTATATTCTGTGGCCTACTGCAAATTATTTGCCATTATGGGTCAAGGTTGTTGGTTATGGTCAGATCATTGAACCAATTAATATATATGGTTAGCTTTATGAAGAAAACTGCTCCAAGGTCACATTCAATATTAAATACTTTTTGAAAAAAAGAGATAAAAAAAGTTGTCAATGACATGAATTAAGTATTACCCTATCATATCACCACAGTGCTACATAAAAACAGGCCAACCTCTGAGTTACTGGTATCATCTTTGAATATGAAAAATAGGATCTAAATAATATTTTTCTTTTGTGGCTGCTGTTTGCCCATCTGTAACAGTGTAGGGGAAAAAACCATCCCACTCAAAGGATTGTTAAGATAAGTGACCTATAAACATGCCTGCCAAGTGCTCCTTAAAACAGAAATTGCTCTGCAATAGTCCCAGTAATGATCCAGTGGCCTGGAACAATCCAAGTTCAGTGTCCCAGCCTATCTACGTCCTTTTGTCGTCAGGGAAGTAAATATTCCCAGCACTCTGACCACTGAGAAGTCATTTTTTTTTTTTTTTTTCAGGATAGTAGAGACAGGGAAGTAGAACAGTTTCTGGTAGATTCTTTCTCTTTTATTTTTTTTTTAAAGATTTATTTATTTATGCATACAAGAGCTAGGGTACAGGCCAGAGGTATGGGGGGTGAGAGGATTCACCAGAGACAGAGTGGGGAACAGAACAGGCAGATTGACCGAAGAACACTGCTGAGGGGAGCAGCAGTGGGCGAGTCTGGAGAGGTCCGCTGCGCCATGTGGGTTTCTCCTTGGCCAGCTTCAGAGGTTGCATCTTAACCCCTTGCACCACCAGGGAGGCCCAATTCTTTCTCTTTTAAACCTCATATAGGAGTCTTAAATTGAGAATTAAGCCAGTATGAAATGGGTGGAAAAAATCCAAATGTTAGTATGAAAACTATAAATAAAAAACCTAGTTGCCAATAATTAATAAATCAAACTTATACAGATTTGAGAGGTAGCAATCAATTCTCAACCCATCCCTCTGTGATGCCTTGAAAACTACCTAACCAAATAACTGAACAAGTCAAAATACTTTGAAGACAGGTTTTGGTATAATGGTGAGCACAGAGGTCTTCCAAAATACTTCTAAGATGACTTTCTGAAAATGAGACTCTCTGGGCCTCTGGATGGGCTGCCTGGGACACTCGAGGTCAAGAAGCCACCACCTCTCTAGAAGATCTTTGATTTCAGATGAGTCTGTACTACTCCTGTGGAGGTTCCAGGCACCAAGCATGGAAGGGCTTTAAAATCAAAGCTTTACTAGTGGCGCAGCGGTTGAGCGCTGGGTTGCAAAACTGCCCGCGGCCTCTGTGGCGCCAGTTCGATCCCTGGCTGCTCCCCGGCCACCAGAGGAGGGTCCCACATGGCGCGCAGACCTCTCCTGCCGCCCGCTGCTCCCCTCAGCAGTGTACTTCGGTCCTCCTGCCTGCTCTGCTCCCCGCTCTGGCTCTGGTGAATTCTCTCGCCCTCCCGCGCTTCTGACTGTACCCAGTGCATGTATAAACAAAAAACAAACAAACAAATAAAATAAATAAATAAAACATGCCTCTATTAAAAATAAAATAAAATAAAATAAAATCAAAGCTTTCCCCTAAGGACTAGATTCTTCTATCCTCCAGGGAGAAAGCCCAACAATGTGAGCTAGGACTAGCAAAGGCATCCCAGGGACTCACGGGCCTAGGGAAGCGTCTTCAATTACTTTGGTTCCCCAGATTTCCTGAGCATTGGGGTTCACCTGAAAAGGGATATCTGAGGAATCTAAAACAATTTTAAACACAAGACAAAAAGTGCTACTGTCTTGGACAGAGTGTTAAAGCATTACCTATAAATTTTACAAGGCCAGTAAATGCCTCCCAGAAAATATGGAACCATTATTTGTTAAATCAACCACAGACTACAATTGTTCTTTTGTATTATAAACACCATACCAATGATTCTTAAAAAACAGTGAGGGGATCGCTAGCATCAGAATCATCTGGGGGTGCATGTTAAAAATACAGATTCCTACACCTTACCCCAGACTCCTAAACTGAATCTCAGAGATCAATCCAGTCCATGAATTAAATTTTAAGAAGCAACCCAGTTGAGTCAGATGATGCATAGCCAGGCAGCGAAATTATTATTTCTAATGTAGTCCATTAGAAACTTAAAGATATTTACAGATTAGGGATTTACAGATTTCCCCCAAAATGTTTTAAGTACCACAAAAATGAAAATAATATTTCTTATGATGGGTTCTTAAGAAACTTTGCAGTTTATTCTGTTGTACATATAATGAACACCATTATTAAAATGTAATTATAAGCATGAAATTACTGGGAAAAAATATCAACTATACTTCTCAAAAAAATACTGCCTTTTCTGTCACCAAAAGTAATTATGCTATTAAAGGAATTTATAGTTTTTTTAAGTATCAGTCACTGGCTGCAGGAACTTATTAAAGCTGTTATACTCCTCTGATGACTCCTCCTTTGAGTCATCAGAATTTTTGTGATAAAGCCTTTTTTATTATTTTAAAATCACAGATTGTGACCACTGCAACTAGTGATTAAGCTGAATATGAATTTATATCCGAGTTATAAATTCCTAAAAACATATTTCATCAGAGTTATGAAGGCAGCCTGAAATCTAGTAGAATAGCCTCTACCACAAAGTTGTTTACGTCTATTAAGGTGTGTGTGTAAAACAATTCAGTTTAAATGCATTTGCTTAAGAAGTAAAAGGAAATAGTTTTAGATATACACGCTACTGCAAAGCAATAAACCAGTGTTGCCTGGTTATGTGACAAGCACCACATTTTTTTCTAGGGTATTTTTTCCCTCCTTTAAACTCCGCCTTCCCAAGCCATGGCTATCATTTCACAAAATGCAGTTTGCATTTCTGAGGAGTTAAACATTCCTTTTCTAACCTTTACCAAACCACAATTTCAGGTTGAATGAAAATAGAACTTGAGAGGTAGGCCGGCTTTGTTTGTAGCATGTTGTTTCTAAGTATTGCCCCCTCCCCACGCTCTACCCTAGCGCTCTGACTGAAGCCTACATGTTATGTTTTAACAGATGGGCCGGCTGGCGGCTGCTGGGCTGTAAAACAGGAACGCGGAATCTGCACCGAGTGGTATTGAACCGAACGCTCGTAAAGTTCACGGACATACACTGACCCAGACAGACCAGCAGATCCACACATACTTACACACACACACACACAGTCATCATACACCCCACAGACTAGAGGGGCATTTCCTCACGCAGGGTAAGTTCAAGGCTGAATTTCCTCCTCCACAAATTTCTATTTCATTCATCTATCAGATTTCATACTCACAAGTGCACACACACACATATGCACATCTACATGTGCACAAAATAGCTGCATATCTCAAAGCTATTTTCACGGATGAAAATATCCTCAAATTCTGTACCCAAGTCTTAACCTGGTGCTCTCAATAAGTTCTCATTCACATCAAATAAGAATCATAAGGAAAAAAAATGCATTCAATTCAATAAGAAAAAAAAATGCATTCAATTTTCCAAAACTACATGTAATAAACCACATTATATGCAATGGTACTCAGAAAAAAACAAACAAACAAAACAAAAAACCCAGCTGCTTTTATCCCTTATCATTGAAAGAGAGCGGGGGGGGAAAAACCCTATCCCAGACCAAGTCACAAATAAACGGCGTCAGGTTTAACCTTGAATCCTCTGTTGTCAGTTCTTGTCACAACTTCATCATTTACACACGCAGGTGCTCAAACAAAACACCAACTGCTCAGCCCAGCCTGGTCGTCCCTTTCACGACTCGCCCCAATTCTCCCGAGCTCCGGCCACTTGGGCTGACAGCAGCAACCCCCGGTCCGAACAACAAAGTCCTTTTGGACACACCTTGCAGGAGGGTGTGTGGGTCCGCTCACCTCTTGAGGGAAGCAATTACTTTACAAACTTTAACATCCGTGCTGTCAGTGCCTTTCCATAACCGCACTGGAGCACTGAAGCTCCTGCCACAGACCCCGCCGGGTGACCCAAGTTCTGCCGCACCACCCCCCCTGGAAGGCGCACCTCGCCGGCTGGGGCTCGGGCTCACCGGCCGCGCCGGCCACAGCGCGGGCTAATTTCTCCGGCACCAGCCGCGAGCCATCCAGGAGCTGCTGTCTGCACACCCCTGGGCACCGAGGCGGCCCCCCGCGCGCGTGCCACGCCGCAGAGGGCCAGGGGACGCGCGCCCGGCCCCACCTAATGAAGGTAATTACCGAACCCCAAGTTCTCGCGGACACCGAGCCGCGTCCCGAGCCGAGTTGCGACGCTTCGGAACAAGAAGTTGGGGAGTGGGTAGATCCCGCCCAGCCCCGACCTCCCCACAGCGGCCACGCTCCGACCGACTGACCGACTCGCCCCCGGACGCGTCCGCCCCCCGCGCCCCCGCAGCCCCACGGGCGCGCAGCAGCCGCTCGCCCCGCGCGGCCACTCACCCTCCGCGCCGCGTCCAGACAGCAAACCCACGGCCCTGCTGCGGGCGCCGAGTCCCAAGTTGCTCCCAACTGGCGGGTGTCCTCGCCTCAGCGCGCCGGGGCACACGGACTCGCCCCGGGTCCTCAGGAGAAGCCCGGCGGCAGCCCGGGCTCAGCAGCCGCCCGGAGCGCGGCAGCAATTCAAGGACCTGCTCGGCAAATGAGGCGAACCCACGGCTGAGGAGACCGGCTCGAAGGGAGGCGGGGCCGGGTGGAGGGGGCGTGGCCATCCCGGGGCCGGCCCCCCCGAGGGGCGGGGCGCCCCACTACCTGTGACTGATTGAATCTGCCGCCAATCGTCGTGGCGCCTGGGCCCCGGCGGGCGCGGGCGTTGCTAGGCGCTCGGCTCCGCCCCAGCGCCACGGTCCAATAGTCCGCGGCCCTGGGCTGGCGGGGAGACGCGCCGGCGGCTGGAAGTTGGCGGCTCTGAGGAGCTCGGGCTGCGGGCGCGCGCCCTGGGGGCAGCTGCGGCGGGACGCCTGCGCCTCAGAAGGGATGTGGCGGTCCAGGGAGGCCCCCGACTGAGAGAAACCGGGGCCCTCGGGATTCCCAGAGCCGCCGCGGGTCGTGCGTAGCGGAGCTAGAAGCCCAGCCGGAGCGCGGCCCGAAACCGGGTGGCAACGCCCCGCGCCCGGCGCACGCCTGAGGCGCACGGCTTGGCTGCTCAGGGAGCGCCAGGAGTCGGAAGAAACCGAAAGAGGGTGAGCCTGGCCCGGGACTTGGAGCTCCGGCGCCGGGGGAAAGGTTCTGAGAGGGTCCCCGGCTCCGCAGACTCCGGCAAAGTTCCTCCCTCGAGCCGTCCTGACCCGTGGCCTGGACGCCAGCGGCCGCGGGGGACCTGACCCGGCGCCTGCGCGCCCTTCTCCACCCGAGGCTCCCGGGGCACCTGCGCCAAGCCCGGGGGCAGAAGGGAGGCTCGACGGCGCGGGGACCCGCGAGACCCTCCCTGCAGCGCGGCTGCTGCGTCCGCAGCGGCGGCTCCTTCCGCTGCTCAGTGCTTTGAGGCCGCTCGCACTCGGGCCGGTCCAGGGTGGTTCCTTCTGTGGTTCGTCTGCCCCATTCTGCGGGCCCTCGCCCCCTTCCCTGCAGAAGGCCCTCACTGGGAGGGAGACACGGAGCTCAGAGGCCTCCGTGGTGACCCTTATGGGTCGGTCCCGGTCTAGTAGCCCCCAGAAGAAGGTTTTGTGGGCTCTGCCCTTCCTGGCGGGCTACTTGTGTTGTTGGTGGGTGACCTCCTCAGACGGATTTTTCCCTGGCTCCAGCACCCACTCATAAGGTTCTGTGGGTATAAAGAGTCAAAAAGCAGATTGGGTGTTGTTTTCCAGACAGGTCTAGAATGTAAACAAGTCCTGACTGTAAACTATGGGTGGGGCTGCATCTGCCTTAGGTAGTCACCCAACCCATGTTAGCAAAATGAACGTTGTTATGTTAGGAACTGGTCAAACTTCCTAGTACTCTGACACTCACCTTCACCACAAACCATAGTCTCACTCAGATCCCTGACATCCTAAAGGTTTTAGGCACCTAGTCAGCTTATCATGTGTGAGGGATTATGGAGTTCACAGATGTTATTTCAATAACTGCGTAGCCCCTGTAAGGGCCAGCATCATAGCTCACCCCCCCATGAACAAGTTGTGAGGATGGTCACTAGCAAGAAGGAAGGTTAATGTCCCATGACTGAAAAGGCCTGAGATGTCCCCTCCAGCAGCTGCAGCTCTGAGGTGAGCTTTGGCCTGAACTGAATTTCAAATTGTGTCTCCTCATCTCCCTTTCTCAATGGGGAGAAGTCTCTGTAAGATAGCCTGTCTGTAAGACAGGCTGTCAGACAAGACAATCAGGGTCTGGGTAGTCAGTAGTTCCTGAAAAATACATCAGTGTTGGAGAAATTGCATGTATTCAAGCCTTTCCTCATGTAAGGAGCCAAAGGACTGATAGGTAAGGAGACTACTCTTTGGATTCAGTTCTAACAGTTGCTTAGCATGGTGCTGAGTGGCTTAGAAGAATAGCCTTCTAATTCTTAGAAGAATTAGATGTAGACCATGTCTCTCTCCAGGTCAGGTCTCTCCCCAGGTCAGGATGATGGGATAAGAGGAGATATAATTCCTTAGATTCTTTTTTTTTCCTACCCCTAGGTGAAACTAAAAAAAATTGCCAACAATTTTTATCATATAAGTACCTTATGAAGGTTTTACACAGATTCTAGTAATTATTTTAAAAATCATCTTGATAATAGGAGTCAAACACTGTTGACTGTACTTGCTGTAGTATTTGTTAGGTGATGAAAAAAAAGAAAGTGCAAAATTTCCTTTCATTTCAAGTAAATTAGAATTAAACAAGTGACTTCCATGTTCTGATTTCTAAAGTTTTCTCTTTGTTTCATACAGACATGGATCCTTGGACAAGTAACAGCCATTCCTTACAGAATAGATGTCATGGCAGAGATGGGGCACATTTAAACAACACTCATATTCCCATACCATCTTCTGTTGTAATTGGTATTTGACAACATCTTATCACTCAGACACAGACTGACTCCTTTAATTGCCAGACCACCTAACTATCTTTTAAGTTTGGACCATCCCGTATTCTACAAGGGAAAACAACAAGTACTACTCGTCTAAGAACTCATTGTAGTGCAGGATGTGAAAACAAAATAGAAAACCATGGAAATCCAGATATGGAAGTCACTTGTTTAGTTCTAATCTATTTTATAAAAGCAAATTTTCTCTTAAAGTGATAAGGAAGTTTGGGAATGAGAAGATTGAGGTGAGTAATCAAAACAAGGCTGGTCACTTTGTAGATGGTGAGCAAATTTCCATCAGGTTTTCATCCATCTCTGACAGTGAAACAATATTTGGAACCTTCTAAATCTCAGTGGGATGTGACTGATAGGAGCCTTGGGTTCTAATGTGAGCAGCTGCTTTGGTGAGTGTTCCTGGCAGTCACTTAACCTCTGTTTACCCTTGCTTCCCCTGCCATAAAACAGCAGTAGCAGAATCATCCCATTATGTTTAGCTGCTTAAGGGGGACACCATGACAATAGTTACAAAGTACTAGAAATGCATGGCATTTGTAGCAGTATTGTCAAAAAGGAAAAAATAATGTTCAAATAGGAAAATAGTGTGGTCTGCACATTACCTCTTTACATTTGCAATATTTATTCATTTTAATCTCATTGGATCTTTGGCCTTACATTCTATAAATAGAAATGAAGAAAATGGACCCATCTTTATTGTTTGACTACCAAATGTTTTAGCTTTATTTAAATGAATAGTGAGCTTCCATCTATCCCTTTTCTACCACCTCTCTGAACATATATTCACTTTGAAAATTATTCCAAATTTGAACAAGTTGAGATAAAGACCTTAGCAAGGAAATAAAATCAGAAAAGCACATTGTGATACCAACTATGCTGTAAGCTCATTCTGAGACCTTAGGCAAACCATTAACCTTCCCATATGCCTTAGTTTCCCATTTGTGACACTTCCAAACAATTTCACTGAGTAGGAGATAACTAATGATAAGACACTTTGAAATATAGATGTATAGACTGCAAGTACTTAGGTGTTTTTGGCAAAATAAATTATGAAAGTTAGTTTGTAAACCACAACTAGGAGATATTTTTGTAACATATTACTGTGACATGTTATGGTCTACCTTGGTGATAATATAACAATGATATGCATTTGAATGAAAGCACAGCTACCCCATGTAAGAGCTATTTTGCCTCAGGTCCAACCAAGTAAAAATGTGATAACAGAGGTGAATCTAGAGGGGAAGCTCCTGTTCCACATATACCTAGGATTTCCTCAAACCTACTCCAGCAGAAAAACTACACTTCTTAAAAATGGGTGTTACTGTGTGAATATAAGTCTGATAAAAGACTAGAATGTTCTTAGGGAAAAGGCCTAATATGAACAGTCCTGATGGACAAATTGGTCAAAAGTCCACAAGGAGAGATAAAACATACTCTTAATTTTAAATTTTCTGAGGAATGAAAGAGTCATTTGGAAAGGAAGAGTCATATGCTCAGGGAGGAAAAATAGATTGCTAACTTCAGTCAAAGAATGAGAACAGTGGGGAGTTAGAAGAAACAAGACAAAGAATATGGACTTTGAAAACACTATAGAGTGAGAGTTGGATTTTTTCCTTTGCTTCTTGACTCTGAGACAAGGGCAAAGTGCTCAAGATGGTCGGACAAGTTGCTTAGCTTCTCTGAGCCAAAGGGCTTAGGATACAGTGATTAGGTTTTTCTCATTGACTTATTATGAATTCGAACAAGAAGCTCTGTGTTAAGTCCTAAAGGCTGAGCTCATAGTGGGCCCTCTAATGATAATAACAGTACCTCATATTTATGGAGTACTTACTATGTGCTGTGCATTGTTCCAAGCCTTTTCATCTGATGACTTCCTTGATCCTCACAGCCACCCTGTGATGTTGCTGCTATCTTTTTCTCAGAGTATCTGTCTACTTGGAAGTACTATTCTAGGAATAATATCCTGCTATGCATTATAAGTCAAAAGTGTCTTTTTATAGCACTGGAGATATTCTAAGAAAATTTATTTTCTATAGGCAATCTCTTTCTTGAACATATTGAGAAAGAAAATAGCATTTTAAAGTAGCTTTGCCTGACTTTGATATGGAAAGGGCTAATTTAACCTTTCTTAGAACCTAGGAAATCAAACTGCAGTCATCACTTAAAACACATATAACAAAGCGAGTGAGGGATTCACAGTAAGGTACAAAAAGGGCCATAGAAAGCAAACCGTGCTTCAAAATCACAGATCACTTTCCAGGGCTCAGATTATAAACTAGAAAATCTGAACTTCTAAACAGTGTGCTCATCATATGATTTTGGATTTAATAGATATGAGTTCCCTTGAGGCAGCAATATGGGAATAACTGGCCAGCCAAAGAAGGAAAAATGGATTATCCTTCGGAAATGAATTGTATCATTAGGTATTATGAATAACCCAAATTATGACAGATTCACATATAAGTATGCCAGGGAAAAGTAGCCGTGAGCTATAATACACACAATCATTTATTACCCAAGAGAATTTAGGTGCTAATGTGGATGGTATTGCATCTGTGAAATTCTGAATCCCACAAAGGATTCCAAGATATGAAGCCAAATAAAACATAATACAGAGAGAAATGATTTTGATTGTGTAACATTTATATGTAGCATTTCATTTTACATTTTCAAATTGGTTTTCAGTCATTGGTTTATTCTTCACAGCACACCTGGGGAGTATACCCATGCTGTTATCCTCTGTTCACAGCTGAGGCAACTGAGACTGAAAGAGGCAAAGTGTTTTGCCGAAGAGCACAACAGGGGCAGGTGGAGAAATCCTGCATTCATTCAATCATGAGTCTATTCAGCGCCTACTCTTGGCAAGGCACCTTGGTCTGTGGTACACAGAGGTGGGTATTATATACATGGCTTCTGCTTTGCAGGAGTTTGTGGTCTCCTGGGGAGTAAGCAGTTTGTGGATTATGTCTCCAAGAGTACTCTAAATAGCAAAGACCAAGGTTTAGAGGAGGAGGGAACTCCCTTAAAATTCCTAGAGATGGTAAATTGAGGCCCTTTAAGAGATGAATAGAATTTTGGCAAAGGAGGGTCATGGGTAATGGGAATGACAGAGACATGAAGTGGGGCAAATTCAAGATGTATTATCAAATATCTGACAGTGTAGTTATGGAGCAAGGGCTAGAGTGGCAAGAAGCAGATTTTCCAGGACACTGAATGCCAAGCTGAAATATATAAATTTTTGCCTGTAAGCAATGGGGATTGGAGTCATCTCTGAATTTTCCCATTCATTTATTTTTCTGACATGTACTGTGTGCTAATATATGCTTCATCTATCGGTGTTTTCTCCTACAATGACTTACCTAACTACAACATTCTATCGAAATACATATTGTTATTCCTCCTCAAATGTATGAAAAACTAGCACATCTAGAGACTCAGAGTTGCTTACAATCATGTAATTAATAACTAAGAGATGTGGAATTCCCCAGCAGGACATTTGACTTATTCATGGCTACTTACGGAAAGAGTGAGTTCAGATTCTGGGCAGTATACTTAGGATACCCACCTAATATTTCCTCACCATAGTTAAGTAAATAATTGAAAAATGAAAATAACTCCTTAACCTATAGGGTACTTAATGTCTATAGTGAGCTCCAGGTTAAAAAAAAAAAAGAGGGGAGGGAGTGTTTTCTATTTTTTTCTGCCCTGTAATTAACAACAAATGGTATGTATTTTGATAACTTTAGTCTTGTATTTTTAATATAGTCTGATCTCAGTTTAGTCTTTCCACTACAATAGAAGCTCTGTCTCTGGAGTTAGGGCTTGGTCAATTCAGTTCCTAATCTTTTCACTTCAGTGTGCAACCTAGCCCATTTCTCTTAGTGCCCTGTGAAGTTTCCACCTCATCTTGGATTTTTTACCCATCAAGAAATAGCTTTTTCTCTCCAGATACAAGCTGCTAATTAGCATTTTTACTGTTTAATCATCAGGATTAAAATACAAATGAGAAAAGTATTATTAACCAAAAATATTTAGAAAGAAACAGATTGCTTATTTAAATCTTCCTATAAAGAAATGAAGAGATGCGTTAAGGAGGTGGGTGGGTAGTTAAGTGACAGAAATTGAAACTGAAAATTTTAACATCTGTTAAATAGGTTGCTTCTCATTGATCTGGTTTTGTGAAAGCATTTGTTTGAAAATCCCTGACACTGATTAGTCAGGAAAGTATTCTAGAGCAAATATCTACCACAAGTGACAGTCCAGTGCTGATCTGCTTGAATACAAATGGAAAGCTATCAAAATGGGGCATTTCAGAACTCTAAATCCAATGCACGGCATTCTTGTTTCTCAGCCCCCTAATGCCCTGTTTGGCTTTGTCCAGATTGTATTTTATGATCCAAGTCGTAGAGATATATGAGTAAATGCTCGATTGTTTCTCCACATTTGGGTGCATTTTTTTTTTTAAAAAAAACCTTAATAAGTTGGAAGAAAATAAAGTTGACATATAAAGTTAATATGATTAAATTTCATTTAAGATCTTAAGAAATTGTGGATCCCCTATGAAAGATGTAGAAAACAAGCACTAGACCAGAAAATTGTGCCTGATTTCTTCTCTCTTAAAATGCCATGACTTTTTCTTTGATTTCAAGGAGGGCAGTGACCTGGGAAGCTATGGCCTGTGTTTCATTGAGTGAAGTAACAAAACTAATCCATGATGTCTTAATTTCTAGACCTATTAGTAGGGATGCTTATCTTGGGGTACAGAAAAAAAAGAACTTTGAAAGACTCAGGAAATCATATGACTAATTATAACCATTTGCATCTCTTTACAGAGGAAAAACATGCAAACACTTCTGGGGATTTTCCATGTTGATGGAAGAAAGTGTTCAGGATACTTAAGTGAATCCCATTGCAGGCATGTATTAGCATTAATTTTCCTAACTATTAAAATGAAACCTATGTGGCTTTTTCTTCACTTAAGATGTTCAGGGCTCCCTTGCCCCTCTCTGACTTGGTTCCACCGGCCTGGAAGTCCCACTTTATTTCTGTTCCTTTTCTCCTCAATAAACTTTTCCTCTCTCTAAACAACAACAAAAAACATGTTCAGCAAAAATGATGAGACACTCAAAGATTATTGAGGTAGAAAATTGCTGGAATTAACTTTATTTAAAAAGCAATAACTGCATAGTACATAATTTCCCCAATGAAAGAAGCTCCATACACTGAGGATCTTTTCACAGGAGTGTCTGAATTTTGATCAAAGTCTAGTAGGGTATTGTTGCAGGTAGAAAAATGTGTGGGAAGTTAAGTGACATTTTAACTTGGTGTCTGCCAAAGGTCAGTGTCAGAGTCCCAGGAGAATCATGTTGGCTGACCAAATCCCATGAGTCTCTGTAGGAAAGTTGTTCGTTTTGTCTTGACATGGGGCCCTAAGGTCATTGAACGATAGCAACCCTGTAAGTATCTTATAAGACTCTTGGTAGCTCCCATACTGTGTACTACAGTATTATCCACAGACATTAGTACTCAATACATATTTGCAAAATATGGTTTGATTTTCAGTAGGTCCTGAGCTTAATCAAGCAGACAGCTACCTTTGGGAATTCAGTCTAAACCTTCAGAAGCCCAAATAGGAAAGGGCATGGTCAAGGTCACGTGACCCAGAAAGGTCATGCTTACTTAGCTATGGTTGGGTATGAGGGCACTAATTCTCATTCAGGGTCAGAGAAACCAATTATAAAAAAAAACTAAAATATGTAAATAGGCCCGGCCCTTGAAATTTTTGTGGGCCTTTCAGAGCAAAAAGGAAAAACCATGTCAATTTTCTGCCTCCCTTTTCCAATAAGCTGAGACTATACAACAAATGAGCCCTAAGTTGTTAGTCAAGATCCTTATAAAACCTGTCTATGATCCAAGGTTGGAAACTCTTCCTCTTTCTCCCCATTCTCACCCACTCCCAACTTGAAATAAGTCTCAAGGTCTCATTTTGACTACATATTCTTTCAGCCACTTGAGGGAGATGACAAGAAGCTAATCATAGCTGAGCAAAAACCGTCAGTAATCTAGAAAACAGCTTCAGGCTTAACATCAACAGTGAGTATGTAGTATCAACTTAAAGACTTGTGTGAACACGCACAAATGTTTTCCAAGAATATTTTTCAGAAGAGTTTATTTATGGATATATTCTCTAATTACATTAAATAAGAGAGAGTTAACAAAATGTAGTTCAGGACTGTTCTAAATACTTATTTGCTGCTGTCATTAGCCCTGTCTTTGTGACTGCAGATTGCATCTGCTTATGAATGATAAAGGGGAATTGTACTTTGGTGCTGGGAAAGGATCTTTTAGATGTTGGTAAAGGTTGCAGCTAGTGTTGTTTAGAGTTTATTTTCGTTTTTGTTTCACTTTAAAGACTGTGACTTGGACTTCATACCTGTCTAATAAGCATGCAGGTAACATTTTTATGTTTGCCAAATGCCTTACAGTTACCCATTAGTCTCCACTTTTGAGGTTGGGTCAGTATTACTGCCTACAGTTTACATTTGAAAAAATGTAAGACATGAAGAGATTATATGATTTATACAAGGTCACCCAGCATGCAAACCTACCCCATAAAAGATGACTACAAAGTTCTTTCCAAATAAAAAGTGCCTTATAAATGTAAGGTAGAATTAATGCACATAATCCCAGGATGAGTAGAATACTCTCTAGGTATAAAATACTCATACATGTAAACTTTTTACTATAAGATTAATTCTTTAGAACCTCAGGGCAACTTTTGAAATAGTAATTTTTGAGTGTGCTCGTGCATCAGAAATGTCTCTATAGCTTTTGGGACATGTGTACACCTGGGTCTTTACCCAAGCTAGTAAGTCATAATCTGGGAGGTGGGTGAGACCCAGATAACTTATTTTGAAAAAACTCCATGGGTGATTCTGATGTTAGCTAGCCAAAATTGAGAACCATTGCTCTAGACTAGTCAAGCCAAAAGCAACACAAGACACTGTGAAATCAGTTTTAGGGGGGGATGTCTGGTATCTTCCAGTCTTTTGTTTACCCAGTTCACAACTATTATTAGCAAAGGAACTGCCTCCATGAAATGATCAACTGTAGTATCCATATGTAGAATTCTAGGAAATAGTGTAGAGAGTAAACTTTATGTAAGAACTACCAGTATTTGAATGTTGTAATTTACTGAGTAAATTTACTATGTTCATTCGTGTGTCATTACCGCATCCACTCTAAGGTTTTTATTCTGAGTACTTTTTGTTATAATTAAGACTGCAGAATCCATAATATCTACCCATTCATTCATCTGTCAAACCTTTATTACATGATATGTGGAGGTTACAAAGTGAAAATAGTGGTCTTTGTCTATGAGGAGTTCATAATCAAATGATAAAACCACCATAGGCCACACAAACAAAACCCCTAAGCCACACACATTAAATGATAACCAAAGTATATATGATTATTCTTAACTGCTAAAATGTTTAAACAATCCAATGGCAATCAACAAATAGTTGGATAAAATGTGGTAAATGTGATATATCCATATAAAGGACTATTATTTGACAATAAATTGGAATGATGTACTGATGTATACTACAACATGGATGAACTTTGAAAAAGTTGTTCTAAGTGAAAGAAGCCAGTCACAAAGGAGCGTGTATTGTATGATTCCACTTAGATGAAATAGTCTGACTAGGCAATTATAGAGAGATTAAAAATAGATTAGTGGTAAATAGATTAGTGGTTGCCTAGGGCTGGGAAGGGGGAAGCAAAAGAAAGGGAGGGGCCGTTAATGGGTACAGGGTTTCTTTTAGGGATGACTAAAAAGCTCAAAAATTGTGGTGATGAGTGCATAATTCTGTGAATATACTAAAAAACTATTAAATTGTATTGTATACTTTGGGTGAATTGTGTGGCATGTGAATTATAACCCAATTATGACACAAATATGCATATATATTTCATTATGTATAATGCTATCATACTTGGAGGGAGTAGTAAATAATTAATTTGGACTGGAAGAAAGTGCTGGAAATTTTCCTGGAGGGAGTGGCATTTGAATCTAATCAAAAAGGGTCATTTTTATAAGTGGGAAGATGTGTTCAAAGATAGAGTCCACATGAAGGTACTTTCATGCAAGGGTAAGTTATCTGCACTTGCTGGAGTTTAGGGTCCATGAAGGGTACAGTAGATGGGGGCTAGCTGCAGGGTTTGTACTGCCCTCATAATTTCTGTAGTTTGGGCTCCTTTTTTGAAGGCAGTGTAGAGCCATAATAGGTTGCAGGCGATCTGATCAGCTGGTGATTTGGAATTATAATTGGAGGTTTTGATGAGGTGAACAGGAGATGGTGTGGGAGAGTAGCAAGCAGTGAACCATTTAAGAGGATGGGCTATTGCAATGTGTAGGTGACAGATGATGAAGACTTCAACTATGATAGCATCAGTGAGCAGTGAAAAAAAGGAAAGAGATTTGAGAAAACCTTTAAGAAGTAGAATCATAAAACTTGGTGACATTGGGGAGTATGTGAGAAGGCACAGGTTTGCATAACACAGCATCTTAGACCGTAGGGCTTGGGTCCTTTTTTTGTTTAAGAATACTAAGCACCAAATTATAGCTCTTTAACACCTTGTTGACAAGGGTTTGATTACAGAGACATATTACTTAACAAAAGAATATGTATTGTGAATAAAGGGTGGATTGAAGAGAGAAATATTTTCTCATCATTTTCTGAGCTCTTTTGAATCAGTCTGTTGAGATGAAGCAGTCATTTATGGTCTATTCTGAATAAGTATTTACTTCTTGCTCAAATAGCTTCCCTAGAAACATTTCCTTGGTGTGAGCAACTTGGATTTACTTCTAGGGCAACGCCTCCTATCCAACACACCCACACTGCCTCTTGACTTGGTTCTCACAGGCAGGTGTTTATAAGCAGCATTTTGTTTTGCTTCTAATAAGAGCACGGGTTCTGAAAAGCATAGGCTAAAGGTACCACACATTATTAACTTTCACTTACAAGTGCTCCTATAAGGGAGATCTGAAAACAGGGAGACTAAGGATCAAGAAGACAAGAGGCTGACTTTTTTTTTTTTTAAAGATTTACTTATTTATTTATGCATACAAGAGCTGGGGTACAGGCCAGAGATGCATGGGTGAGAGGATTCACCAGAGACAGAGTGGGGAACAGAAAAGCAGACGGACTGAAATACACTGCTGAGGGGAGCGGCAGGGGAGACTGGATAGGTCTGCTCCACCGTGTGGGTTTCTCCCTGGCCAGCCGGGAATCGAACTTGTGCTGCAGAGGCTGCAGATTGCTTCATAATGTGGTGCCTAACCCCTTGCGCCACCAGGGAGGCCCAAAAGACTGACTTTTCTCTTAATCATGCAAGGCCATGCCTATGAAGAGAGGCAGCCAGAAACAGTCTCTTCTGCTACAAGGCAGCACACTGGCTGGATGTCTGTTACGACTCTTTTGTGCAATGTGGAAGGTGCTGTGACAACATTGCCTGCTGCTAGCAGAATTTGGGAATAGCAACCTGACAAGTTCAGTGCACGAGTTTTACCAAGTAGGGAATGCCATTTAGAACACTACTCACTGAGATTTGGCTCTTATCTGTGTTAGGGAACAATGATTACAGCAAGCCAGCATTCAATCACAGTGGTTAGCAGAGCTAATTACAGCAGTCTCAGGTGGGAGGAATCTCAGCAGACACTTCTGAAGGACTTGGTCAGAGGTTCAAACATTGGTTTTACAGTAAGTGATGGAAATGGACCTCTTGGGTGGCCTTTAAACAACAGTTCTTTGAAACTCTGAACATGGATCCATCTTCATCCAAGTACATGAGGCATCTTATTTCAGGGGTAATCAACAAAGGGAGAAGAAAGAAATGGATGCTTAAAGCAGTAGAGTAAATGTTGTGGATAAAATCAGAGCACAATTCGATATTCCTTGAAGGTTATTTCCCTTCTCTAAGCCTCTAGATCTAGTTCTCATCTCAATAAATGAGGCTAATAATATCGGCCCTATTTATAATCACAGGATTGCTGAATATGTCTTTTAAATATAAAAAGTTGGGGCAAAATAGAAAATATATCTCTGGAATATAGGATGAAAAGAAACGAGTTAAAAAAAAATTCTGTACCATTGTGGAATCTCAAGTTTTCTGATGCCTCTGACTAGTTCTATGGTTTGCTTATCTCCAGATTTGTGTCCCCTTCCCCAGTTTATTCAGAAATCCAATTCTGGTGTAAACTTATCTCCAATCTGAGGTGTGGAGAAAACCCCTAGAATTCTGAGGAGGCCATTCCCTTGTGTCTAGTTAGTCTTATACCTGCTGTAGCCCAAATTTTAAAGCCTTCTCTGTCCCCTCCCAGGGATACCCAACTTGGAAGGACATCAGCCCTGAATAAATCCCACAGTCAAGTTGTAGCTTCAGAGTTTACCTCCAGGACAGAACTGAAAAGAATTTGTAATGTTCAGAAAAGATGTCTTAGTCCGAGTCTCTAACCACATTCTTGTTCCAGCTGAAAATCACAGCACACTTCTAACCAAGCAAGGCACGTCTACTTATCTGATGGTGCTGTCAGTGATAGAAAAGGATCATATTACGGATTTGGCAGGGAGGAAAAAGAAGATTTATTTCCAGGGGTTGAAGATTTATCTTTTCCAGATATGCAAAACCAGTCAGAGCATTAAAAAATATCAATGAAAAGTGAACATGTTTTGTGAGCAGGAGAAATCATTCTTCAAAATAATAAGAGTGTTAGGCATCCCAAAACCATATTTAAAAAAAAAAACAATAGGATAGCCAGTGGGACTAATCAAACTCTTTAAGTGCCCTCTTATGGTGAGGTGACATCTCTATTTAAGAAAATGCCTTACATTGAATATTTATACTTCTCAGAACCATTCTCCTTTTCCAGTGCCAAGCATAACTAAAAAGTCTAAGGAGTAGGGAATTGCACATAATTTAGGCTGGATACCATTGACAAAGTGAGGTTCTTCCTAAGTATTTGTAATCACCTGTTCTGCTCTTCCTCCTCCCGCAAAATTTGCATAAAATGACAGCAGTGTCCTTTATTT